GTTATGACTGAGTTCTACGTGCCGCCCTAGCCTCGCGAGTAAAGTTATTCTGCTACGCCGACGATATTCTCGTCACCGCGAGAGGGAGGGACTTGGAGCAGACCCTAAGCCTGGCCTCAGCTTACACCACCCTGGTCGTAAGGCGTATAGAGGCGCTGGGCTTGAAGGTGGCCCTGCATAAGACTGAGGCTCTTCTGTTTCACGGGCCTCGCAGAAGAGCACCACCAGGCACCGAAATTATGGTCGCCGGTGTTAAAGTGCCACTTCTGCGACACCTAAAATATTTAGGTTTAGTTATTGATGGACGGTGGGGGTTCGATGAGCATTTCCGTCGCCTCGAACCCCGTCTTCTGGGTGCTGCCGATGCGCTTGGGCGTCTTCTCCCGAACGTCGGGGGCCCGAGTGCAACAGTCTGCCGTCTCTACGCGGGCATAGTGCGCAGTATGGCGCTATATGGCGCTCCGGTGTGGGCAGACGCTCTCAGCCCACGCGCCGTTGCGTCCCTTCATAGGGCGCAACGCGCCATGGCTTTGAGAGCTATAAGAGCGTATAGATCGGTGTCCCACACCGCAGCATGCATAATTGCAGGCACTCCCCCGTGGGAAATTTCAGCCCACGTTTTGGCGGCTGCCTACCGCGTCCGCACAGACGCACAGCACGATGACCGGCGCCTTGCGCCGAGGGAGAGGGCCTCCGCCTTGGAGGAGGCGCAAATCGAAGCGTTCCGCACGTGGTTCGAGGAGCTCGAAGAGCAAAGGGGTTCGGCCTCGATCTCTGGCACTTTGTCCAGGACCTTGGAGGCCATGCACCCCTTTCTCACCATGTGGGCGGACCGGCGCCACGGGTCACTATCTTACCACTTGGTGCAGGTCCTTAGCGGCCACGGTTCTTTCGGCCGCTACCTGCACCGTATCGGTAGGGAGCCGACCCCTCAGTGCCACCACTGTGACGCAGTTGAGGATACGGCACAGCACACATTGGAGGTGTGCCCGGGCTTCTCCATTACATTGGGCCCTGCATTGCACCGGTTGCCGCCAGTCGCTGATCTCCTGAATGCCCCGGGGGATCACCGGCCCTCCCATTTTGGGGGGGGTGAGTGGGGCTCGCCATAGGCGAGCAGACGCCGACGAGGTCGTGGATGTGTTCTCGCGAGTTCCCATGACCTTGTCCGGCAGCGACGCGTCCCTTCCCGACTTGTCCTCTTCGTCAGAAGACGATGAGGATGTGGCGGTGATGGACGTGCTCGCGCCAAGGCGTATGTGAGGGGCATCGGTGGGTTTTAGTCGGTAGGCCGCGGAACGGCACCTTCTGGAGGGCATTCTGTCTGCCCCCAGAAGCCGAGGAGAGTCCGACATAACCCCGTGCATCCCAAAGCACGGGGTATGCGTAACGCATTTCCCACCGTAAAAAAAAAGGGTTTATTGTTTCCTATGTATTTGCTGCTGCCATCCATGTATTTGCCTTATAACTATTCTCCAAACACAGACATACCTACGACTTCTTGGGAAATTAAGAATAGTTCTATATTATATAAACTTAAATTAAATGGAGTAAATTTTTTATTATAATGAAATGCAAACTGCGATATTGATACTTCAGTACAGTGTTGAAGTTATATCCATTGTCTCCTTACCAAATTATTGGCAAGTATTGCAACTTTTCTTATTATTAGAGTATTTTCTTTAAATTACAATTTCACTCCCTAAAGTGATCATCTTCTATCTTTATTGTTGTAACAGATTTGCAGTAGGTACAAATAAGCTTTGTGCTTTTCGACGTGGGCTGTCAATTGTGGAAGAAGGCGGAATACCAATTTATATAATGAAAATTGATTTTCTGCATTACTTTTTTTTCCCGTGATTTTGCGTATATTTTAATATCTAGTTATTCTGCTATTCGGGGCGGAGAGGATCCAAAAAAATCAGATCTCATAAAAATCAATCCAGCCGTTCTTGAGTTATAAGTGTTCTAACTAACACGACTTTGTTTTTCCTAGTAAACTATTGAACTTTTCGTATTTGTTTTATTTTGCTTTGTAAAATCCTAAATTTAATTAACCTAGATATTAAAGATAACCACATTTATCGACTGTTATAAAGGCGTTAGTAATAATATAATTGCAAACTTATTCACCACATAACTAGGCATTTGTATTTTTCGAAACTCAAAATGTATTATAATATATAATTCAAAACGACCGCCGCACATAGGAACGCTGAGCTTATGTAGACATTTATATTTTTAATTTTATTCAATCCTTTTGATCAGCTACTGTTTGCAATGTTGGTTAAAATACAAAAAAAATATATCTAGATGAGACTCGCATTTAATAACATTAATTTATTTTTTCGATGACTTTCACTTCACTATTGTAATGTGTCAAAACGGCCATCATCATAACGTCATTGCAAAATATAGCAACAGTTTTTCGGTGTCAGGGCATATCTAACGATTCAAATCTTTGCAGATAACCACATTTATCGACTGTCATAAAGGCGGGTCAGCTAGTAATATTATAATTGCAGTGTACTTATTCACCAAGTAACTCGGCATTTGTTTGTTTGATTCGAAATTTAAAATAAATAAATCAATACGATCCCCGCATATAGGATCGTTGAGCTAATGTAGACATTTATATTTTCATTTTATTCAATCCTTTCGATCACCTACTACTGGCAATATTGGTTAAAATACCAAAAATATAAGATCTAGATGGGACTGCATAAATAAACTAATAACATTTGTTTATTTTTTCGATAGCAAATTCACGTTCACTTCAGAATTATAATGTGTCAAAACGGCCATCATCATAACGACGTTGCAAAATATAGCCACAGTTTTCGGTGTCAGGGCATATCTTACGATTTAAATATTTGCTTGAAACTACATCTTTGTTTATTTTTTATAATACCGAAATACTCGAATTTTGTTTTCAAATCCCTTATTGTTATGTTTTTATTTATTTTTAAAGCATTTTTTTTTCTAGTAAACTTTTCTTTAGATCCTTATTGTTATTACATTAAAGCTATACATTTTGGAATTTCGTGATCGAGCGACGAAATGTTGTCGTTCATAATAATGGACTGTGAATATTCCCCGAAAATACACTACTACACTTCTGGACACATCTATTGGCCCACTTTAGAGTTTAGGTTTCTTGGCCCCTACCGAAATATGATTGCTAGATTGAACAAAAACTGTTGATGCAGTTTTAAACCTGATACATTTTACCATCTTTTTCGATCGTATTGTTTTAAATTTGAATTCAGAATACCATACGACATGGAGCTACGCCTAACAAATCGGATATGCGCCTTGTTAAAGGCAATTGATTTTTGAATAAAAAACATGTTTTATCAAATAAAGGTTTAATTTAATAACGCGTGTTGCCTCCATGGGCCTACCACAGCTCTCATACGATTAGGCATAGAGTTTATTAACCGCTCTATGAAATTTTGAGGGATCATCTCCCATTCCTCTTCTATGGCAGTTTTCAACTCCTGCATCCTCTGGGCAACTGGCTGACGAGCCCTAACACGTCTTTTTAGCTCGTCCCACATGTGGTCAATGGGGTTCATGTCTGGGCTTCTGGCTGGCCAGTCCATAACTAAGATGTTCACATCTCGAAGATATTCCCTGACGATGCCGGCCGCATGGGCTCTTGCATTATCATGCATAAAAAGGAAATTTGGGCCCACATAGTCCGCGTATGGTATCACGTGAGGTTCTAAGCACTCACGAATGTACCTTTCAGCATTTAATGTTGGCAGCCGTGGTCCTGTAACAACCTCAAGTTGAGTTTTGTCGCTCGCGGATATACCGCCCCAGACAGTCGATGAGCCTCCGCCATAAGCAACCCTCTCTTCAAAGCAGCTTTGTGCGAAACGCTCTCCCTTACGTCGGTAGACCTTCTTCCTTCCATCATTGCCATGTAACACAATTTTAGACTCATCAGAAGAGAGTACACGGCTCCAATCTTGCTGTGTCCAATTTAAATGAATGCGTGCGAAATGAAGGCGCGCTGTTCGGTGGGCTCGCGTTAGTTTGGGCCCATTAGCTGGCTTGTGTGGTACCATATCGCGTTTTTCTAACCTTCTCCGAACAGTTTGAGCGCTCACAGATACTCCGTGGAAGTCGCGAATTTGTTTTTGTATCTCAATGGAGGTAAGGTGACGATTTCTCAAGCTGGTCGTCACGATGAATCGATCCTGCCTTTCAGTTGTGACCCGAGATCGTGGCCTTCCTTGGCGACGAACAAAGCCGCCAGTCTCTAGGTACCTCCGATAAACATTTCGGACCGCAGATCGACTTAAATTAAGTTGAGCACTCACGTTTCTTTGGCTGTGTCCGGCCTGAATAAGTGCCACAGCTTGGGCGGCAACTTCAGGTGAAGTATCCATAGATTATTGATAGAACCTCACCTTAATGTTAAGAATAAGTAATGTTTGTTGCAAAACCAAAGATATCAATCACTTATTCAAGAATTAAATCCAAGTAAACCAATAAAACCAAGTTTTCTTAGTATTCGATTGTTTGATATCAACAAACAGGCTCCAAATTGTCTTTTGTTTCTTTAAATTCTGTGTTCGAAATTCAAAAAAGGCTATTGAATGAAATTGTGAATGTGCCAGGTTCAAAACTGCATAAAAACTTTTTGCTCGACCTAATATAAAATTTTAGCTAGGACCAAACGAAACTGAAAGTACAAGGTGGGCCAATAGATGTGTCCAGAAGTGTATATTATAATATCATATTTTTTACAATAATAAACGACCACCAGTTGAAATGAGTGATTAATAAAATAGAACCATCATTTAAATACCATCATTAACAAAATCAACATGGTAGTCATGTTAAAAGAAATTCGTACATTAAAGATGATATTAGACCAGTCAAGTCGGTAATACATATTATATAATAATTATGTTTCCAATGAAACTCTACTAGGTATTCATTTCGATTCACTCATTGACTTATTTATTTCCTACATAAAAACGTACTTGTAGACTGTGAGGTTGAAAGAGGTGTGTCGCCATGTTTGATTCGTTCATCTAAATTAGAAATAGTCATAATCATATAAAATACAAAACATTACAGCGAATTCACTTACAATTTCAACAATATCACTGCTAGGGCACAGGCTTCCCTGTAGATGGAATAGGGCGAACGGATTATCCACACGGGCCCAGTGCGCATTGATACCCATCGCGCACCCGCACCCGCGCATGCTAACGACTGCAAATTCAGCCGGGACCAACTATTTCAAAAGTGCTTTTCGAAGCACACCGTAGCTCGAGATAATTAAATGTTCTCCCATGTTAAGACCGGCCACTGTGAAAGGTACTTAACAGATAAAAAAACTTATCGTAATTATTAAATTTCTAACAAACGTTTCTGTGTTAACTACTCCCTGTAAGATTTCGAAAGCGTAAGATTCTAAATTTAGTTATTGGAATAATCAAGTAAAAAAAAAGCTCAATACCTCTGTATAGACATTCGCAGGTAGCATTCTAACTACGTCATAGCTTAGGTAATCATAAAAGTGGCAGTACGGCATATGACTGTGTTAATAAATAACTGGCCGACCCCGTTTGTGTGCGTGAGAAATTGCTTTGATTACACAAGGCAGTACACGCGGTCCCAACACGTTGTTTGCAACGTGACTCAGAGGCAGTGCCAACCGAACGAAATGATACGTCATTGTTTATTGGTATCGCGCGTTGGTGTGAATGTAACAAGTAGCGGCGCGCGCCACGGTTTAAACTCAGCCGACGCCGTCGTCTAGGGAATTAATTTATCTAACATGAATATAATTATCATAATAGTGTTTTACATAACTTTTTCTATCTTTTTAAACTATAGAAATAAAGAGAATTTCATAAACTAATCCGACATAACCGACAGTGATTTCATCTTCAATGTCATAATATATTTTAAGTTTAAAATAAAATAAATTAATATAAGTTTACACTTTAAGTTTACACTTACCCCCATCAAAGTATTGGTGTCAAGGGCGTAAGAATCTGTTCGCAGAAGTTCCCTGAGTGAATCAAGATCCGACTGCATATTTTCCAAATGATCATCGATATCGTTCCTGTAAATTTTCACTACTTTAATAGATTCAATTGCAATTCCTATACATATCTACTGATTCGTATACAACAAAATTAAATAACTGCGAAAAAAAATTAGTAAAATCACCACTGTTTCACACTGTAAACTGAAATTTTGTTTATACAAAATTAAAGATTGATTAATTAGATTATTTTTTTAGAAGCTAAATTTGATTAATTTTTTATTTAATATTTATTAGCAATTATATAACCATCATATTTTTAATATATGGTCAAGCATTTAAAGCCTATTATAGATACTTATCGAAATAAAGTTATATGATTTCATCTCATATAAAACTATGGCATTTCAATAAATATTAATAATAGTTTATGACAAAGAAACATGTTCTCATATTAACATTTAGAATATCACATACTTGTTTGGATTTGTTCCAAATAGAGAAGCAAATTCTTCTCTACTTTTGACGACGTTATCTCTCCTATTCCTGAATATTAAAATTACTTTATTAAAAACATTATAATCCCATAACAAGGTATCAAACCATTTTAAATGGAAACTTTTAATTACATTTCATCGCCACAAATTTTGTGCGTCATCTTTAGCATGACACACTACATTTTTTAATTATTAAAATTGTTATTAAACTATTCAGACCTTATCAACAAGCATCAGTGGTTCAGTGGCGGCCCGGGTTGAATTCCCTACCGATGAAGGACTTTTTTTATTAATGATTTTAAAGTTTCACTTGCATTGTGGTTTTTTATTCTTTTATTTTACTAACGCTAACTACTTTTCACTCATTATTAAAACTACATCTTGGACATACGTTATCGGATACATCACTAATATTGTGGCATTGTCAAAAACCACCCGCTCTGGGGGCCATTCGCCTAACGGAAATGCTTTGGAAAACGCTAACGCTTTCGATTTTATTTTGTTATTTCTGACCGCCGAAGGTTTTCAAATACCTCACGCTCATGTTTTTAATATTATTATTACCCATGCAAAAGAAAAAAAAAAGAGCGCGAGGAATTTGAAAACCTCAGGCGGCTAGAAATAACAAAATAAAATCGTAAGCGATAGCATTTTCCAAAGCATTTCCGTTATGCGAATGGCCCCCTGGTGCGTTATTCAATACGAACGTTCTTCAGAATTATTCATTTAGGAATTATTATTATTGAGGATTTTATGATTTTATTTTGTATATTTTGCATAATTCATAAATTTATATTTGCTAAATACCAATTTTTACAACACAAATTTCGATGATAATTTTAATAGCACCAGAAAAGTAGCAAAAACTAATTTTGAAAAACCAGCAATCTAATTTTCCACAATTTGGCCCTTTGGGGCACTTAACGATATATAGGTATGAACTTGTTAAGTAGTGCAGTGAGCATAATTATCGTTATATTTATACATAATACAATGTCTAGGTTCAATACATTAACGAAACAACATTTAATCTTAAGACTACATATGCAACGGCTTTACGTTACTTATAGAAACTTGACGTTTTTGGTCACCTCGCGATTCGATGAATAAAACGACTCGATGCAACCAACAACTGAACATGCTTTCCACTCCGATAAAAACTATTCTAAAATTGATAAGGATTTATGTTTTTATTTTTAAGCATTTAACTGCTGGATGTTTAAATCTAAAGATAATGATTATAAACTGTCTTACCGGTTCTGAAACCTATTTACGTTGGTATTATTCACTGTAGCCAAGGACATATTGTTCCAGTCTATATCATCCTGAAGTTCTGTCTTAATGTCAGCTAAATTTAAACTGAGATCATTATTTTTGACAACTTTCTTTGTTTTCTTTGAATCTGTCTTAGATGTGGGTACAGGCTTTTCCAGTTTGATATTAATTCCACCAAGCATCTTGTCTTTAGCAACAGGATCACGAAGCTCCGTAGAAATAATTTGATCTTGTAAAACATTCTGTATACTGTAGTCTTCAGTTGATGCTACACCAGCATCACTAACAGAGTCATCGCTCGCAAATATCTCAGCAGGTAGTCTTAAATCAGCTGATGGATTCATTGTATTAAAGTCAGAGGTGTTTAATACACTTTTGTTATTTAGTGTTGAACTCTTGTTGTTTAGGATTGAACTTTTATTACCACTAGTGCGGGATTTTGTTTTAGAAGTACCCGGGGAAGCCATTAAATTGCTCACAATTTGTTCTGTGGTGATAGGAACTGTAGGAGATACAGCTGCAGGAGTTTCAGGTGTTGGTAGTGTACCATTAGTACGACAAATAGGATAAAACCTCATTGATCTTGGTCCATCTAAAATTCATACAGACAAAAATTAAATAAATGATTGAAGAGATTATATATTTGTTTTAAAATTAAGAAACATACCTGCAGAAGTTTCTTCTCCGTCCTCCATTGTAACCTGATATTCCGAAGATGCTGTAGGATCTGGACTGACACTAGATGCGCTTGTAGGCACTTGTACTCTAAAGAATTCAGATCCACCAGGAGGCAACTCTACTGTCACGAAATTAGAAGGTTCCAATGTATCTTGAGACGTTTCATTATGTAGAATGTCATCATAAGCTAACTCGTGGATGGTGGGCCCATCTTCCTGCAATGATTGATGATATGATAGGTTAACAAACAATAATATATACTGTAATCAAATGTTACATATTTTTTTTCTACTACAGACCAAATTGTCTTCATTTAAATCATCTGGTACAGTTTCCTTATCAAATTTAAAGTTCTTTGATTTACTAGGGTGGGATGTATCCGTTGAAGAATTATGTGCCGCATTATTAATCATGAGTTGATAAGGCCTTTTGACACCAACATTATTACCGCCGCAGTTAGGTGGTCTCGTCGGTTGAACTAAGGACATCAGGAATTGTATAAGCTGGAAAAATACAGTTGTTTAAAAAGACGAGCTAATATGCAATACTAGTCGATAATGAAAATTTTACTACCGACAAAACTGTGTACAAAACCAGCTTTATACTTACATTATTTACAATCTGTTGCTGCTTTATATGTTTCTGTCTAAGAATCGCTACTTCCCGCCATAACGCTTCATTTTCTTGTTTCATAGCACTAAATTTTGCATCAAGACTTTCTTGTTTACCTTTCATTTGCTTTACGTCGGCTAATACCTTGTTCATCAACTCTGGTTTAATAAGAATCTTTTCGCCACTCTCATTACTTGTCACTAAAGTCTTAGGATTGGCAATTTTTCTCTTAATGTGCTCTAAAAGATATGCATGCCCCTTCATGAAACAGGGATGAGAAAATTCAATCTCATCTTTTTCATAACGCAGTCCACCAGTCTCGACGGAAGTAATTTTATGAAATCCATACATATTCAATTGCCGTATAAAGCTAGCCATATTATTATGTTTATAATATAGGGGTAAAAGTTCTCGAGCAAATTCTGCTTGATTTTTTATTACAAATGTTTTGCCTCCCTAAAAAAAATAAATATTTTGTTGAACAGTAAAATTCATGATATCTTTGAAAAATAAATGTTCAATGATTTATATTCGCGAATTTATATTTCTGTAGCATTAAGGGTTACATTAAGGTTAAACAATGATGAAAATATACCCAGAAACAGACATTTATACAATGAGTAAGCCTAGAAATATTCCATTCAGAATCAAACCAAGAAACAATTATACAGAATAAATCATTCTTCACATCTATTGACAATGGTTTGACCTTCTTAAAGAAAGATGAACGATAATATAATTAGTTAAAAATGTTTGTGATAATTGTTATTTATAATGTTTGTCGAGGTTTTCTATTACTGTATAACAATAAAGAAAAGAAATATTAAATATAATTCATATTGTAAGTAGAAAAAGTAAGTAGTTTTTATGCCGGTCAAAGCAAAAGTTTTTTGAAAACATTCAACAAAAACACATATACTAAACTTTTCTGAAACATGTTTCTCTACAGACGCCGTACCGTCTACTACTCACGTGGCTGTCGTAGAAAATACTCAGGGCTACATTCATTCAAACACTACGATCCAGGTGCAACAAATGTCAAATTTGACAAGTTTCGTACATTTTGTCTAAATTGAAACTTCAGAGTGAAAAGTTGTACTCCGTGCGCAGGTTTGGAACGGAGCCCCAGCTACCGCGTTGTCAAAAAATGGCCAATGAAACAATACCCTGACCCTCGACCCGCAAGAGGGGATTTGAGTACGTGTTTTCCATCGGGTTCGGAAAACAACAACATTGTTGATGCAAACATTATATACAGTGTGAGTCTTTGTAAAGTGCACATATTGAAATTGGGGAACTATGGTTAATTTTATCGACGGAAAAAAAAATATATATACGATTTTTAAAGATCTTGTTTGCTACAGTGACCTCCTTGTAAACAAATCGGTATAACTCTTAAACTAAACGACCAATTACGATGATAGAAACTTGTTAGTAATTGGAAATAATAGAGCAATCTCATATAATGAAAGTTGAGGACAAAATGCCCTCAATTGACAGTTTAGCGGTCAGCTTTTTAAGAAACTCACTCTTTTTCAACAATTTTCACAATCATTTTGAATTATCTCAGTAAAACGCACCTTTACCCTATTTTTTTATTAATTAAATTATTCTACATCATTATATGATATGATAAAACAGCCGAGAAAAGATTCCGATGCTGATGATTTTTTTGGTTGGTTCAGTTTTTCGCCAAATAGGATATTTTAACTTGGTAAAGATCTGACGAGTACTTTCAAAGAAAGACAATGGAACTCTTCAATTACAAACAGTATTCAATATGGGGTTGGTTATAATAAAAATATGAAAGAAACAATGTAGACCAGGCACCTGTACTTAGTAGATGAATGATTCTACAGCTTATAAAAAATTAAAAAGAAAAACCAATTTTATAAAAATAACAATTAAACAGTTACTTTTAGTTTATTTTCAGAACTTCAAACCCTTCATATTCTCAGCTCGGCTTTTTATTTGATACCCATATTGTAGGAAAACATAAAAAACTTATCTTTTAAAGTCCGCGATATTGGCGCGCGCGGTTTAAGGTGACATCACTTTATGTTCGAGAGTCATTCTCATCAAGTCCTTTCATTTGATACCCATATTGTAGGAAAGAACAAAAAGTGAGTCTACCGTGTTTTTAAGTCCGCCATATTGGATTTAAGGTAACGTCGTTTTATTTTTCGAGTTATTCTGTCCCCGTAGCATGATCACCTTAATTAACGTTATATCACGTTTTTTATCGCGTCTAACTGTCAAACTCCATAGTAATTTGACACTTGAGCGTGATAAAAACGAGTAATATATCATATCGCGGTGCTCATGCTAGGGGGGCTGAGCAAGCCCTTTCATTTGCTACCAATATTATAGGAAAACATAAAAAACTTAATCCGCCAACTTTTTAAGTCCGATATTGGATTTAGAATGACGTTACACAGCTCACCATGCATTGTCATCTAAACTAGAAGCTTAATAGAATGAAGACATCTTTAATGCGATTCAACTAAGAATAGGACCGACTGGGCGCCATATTGTGCCATTATAGCTGTCAATTCAAACCAAATAGGTAGAGTGAGCAAAAAAATGTTTTTATATAATAAAACTTATTTAATAAGATTAAGTGAGAAAAGCATTAGATTTTTTTATTATAATTTATTTACTTAGATTGAGAAAAATGAACAACCAATTTTTAATAATATTTATTTATTAAGACTGTGTGAGAAAAAACATTAATCAGAATCTAGCTCTCCAATTCCGCTCATCTCTGCATTACCGGCGGAGTAGTTATGACTAATCATGCACTATTACTAGGTCACATAAGAACATGCATCCTTTATGTAAACGAAAGTTTTAAATCGAGTTTCTGAACGCAACTTAAAGTGTCATTTGGATTTTGGCTATCAACCATTCATAGCCAAAGCTCAATAAATGAAAAATAAACATTAACCAATATTAATTATCAATATTTGTTATTGTTTGTTTACAAATGTTTGGTTTTTATTTTAGAATTAGCTGAGTGCTAAAAAAGGGTTCCAAGATTTTTTTGTAAACCGTACTTTTGAAGCGACGTTTGACAGATGGAGGTCATTCGCTTTCCTTTTCTTATTTGAATCGCACTATAGTTCAAATTCAGTTGCAAGATTCCACCCGAACATATAATGCGATTCAACGTTCCCTGACTATAAATAAATAAATAAATAACATTATAAGGTGTGATACACTAAAAATCTAAATTATGGTCTTTCATCATTTCATCTTAAAAACATAACAAATCTAATGAAGCTACTGAATATATGGCTATAGAACCTAAATCTCTTAGCTTTCTATGGTTAACGAGAGTTTAAAAATTCTCTCTAATCTGTGGCTCATTCACAATCATCACACAGTTTCTGTCACAGAGTACCATATTATAACCGGAAATGACACCTGTTTTAAAAGTTACTCTTATGCATTAACTTTAAAAATAGGCAACTATCTGTTAATGTACATGCTCTATATACCTGAATCTAATCCATAATTTCGGTACTTGGCTTGATTTCCATAGTTTACTATATAACTTATTTGTTTTTTATTATTTTAATATGTTCAGTGTATATGGTTTATAGAAGTTGTCAGGGGTGTCCGTCAATAATATTCGTTTCTACAGTAATTTATATATAATTTCGAATCTAGGAAACAATTTTTCATGATTATTGGTCTTTAGGCCAAACATGTATGGAAGCTGAGCAATCTCCTTAAAACGTGCTGCTAAGTAAAAAATAAAAATTACATAATGATTATCACTTAAGAACAAATATAAAATAATAAGACAGATATTTTATGCATAAACAACCACGTACCAATGCTACACAGTATCGCCGAGAATTTTATCAATAATTCTGGATTTAAATGAAATTTTGGAGTAAGCAAAAAGATCGATTTTTGAAAACTTTTCATTGTATGTTTGGCACAAACGCGAAAGAACCGAGTTTTTTCCATAGTTGGTTGGGTGAAACGGAACATGAAGTAGAGGGGTATGTCAAGTTCGTCGGCTCGGCGCGCTCAGTCCCATCCTCGCCAACAGATCCGGACAGTCCAACCTGCCGTTTATTATATCGTGTAACAGATTCATGTCTAAAACCGTTCTTCTTTCATCCAATGTCACAATAGCATACTGGCGACAACTATCTAAATAGGAGTTTGAATTAACTCGCAGTCTGTAATCTAGATGCTTTATAAACCTTTTTTGAATATGCTCTAATCTTTCCGAGTGCAGTTTGAAAACGGGGGACTTGCATATTCTATTATCTTGCATATTTTCCAGCTATCAATTCCTGTCAACAATCCGTCTCTTTTCCAAATTACCTAATAACCTGCCAGTATACACCAAAAAGATCCGATAACTACAATACCTACCATTTATTACTCTCGTAAATTGTTTCATAATGATATTTATTTAATTCAATAATGTAGGTATGTAGTTTAGTTATTCAATAATGTATGTAGTTAAGTAAGTAGATAGCCTAGTCTAGGAAACTAACTACCTATTATGTAGTTTTGTTTTTAACGCGAGTGTTGGTAGATTACTCGTTTGTCTCTTTTTCACCCTATCCACTTATTTATATATTATTCCAGATATTTTGCCCGATGGAAAAATCGAAATGCCTAAATATTAAAAACAAATTACATACAGTAGATAGGTATATAAAAAAATATTCTATAGTCTTAGCTTTCCAATATTTCAGGTAATTTAAAAAATGATATCTCTGGGTGCGTTATTGAAGAGTTCAAGAAACCAAAAACAGCACAATATCGTCGTTTGTTCTTTGCCATATTAAATTATGTAGGTATCGACTTAATTCAATCAAATATTTACAATACAAATCGCACGTTTAAGCACGGCTAACTGCATAAAAACAATTCACACCGTTCGATCGTCGCTGCGGCGACTGGGTGTCCGTGTCCCCCGAGAGTCCAGCGAACTCGAGTGGCGTAGGTATGATTCGCTTTCCGACCATTTGTATGAAGATAGAATACTGTATATAATATTACCGTGGCTATGACGTCAAAATATGGTGCCCAGTCGGTCCTATTCTTAGTTGAATCACATTATACATACATACAAGTTAAATAAAGGCCTTTAAAAAAACTAAACCACTGAACAGTAAATATTACCAGGGCCAGGGGACAGATAAGTTCGCGACCTAAAGTACTTAGCTATAACTCATCACCTCGTTACCCTTAGCACTAATTGTCTCACTCATTGTAAGTGTAATAACACAAAGCTTAAGCTATAGTCTATTCACTTTGGCGTGAGACAAAATGTAAACAAAGAATCTGGGGTTCTAAAACTTTTATGTCAGAAAGTACGTACTAGTCAATGACCTATTCATTGACTAGTAGGTACTTTCTGACATAAGAGTTTCTCCAGGTTCACCACATGACAATAGCCACGAAAACGTCAATTCAACAAGAAA